AATAATATATTACATATTATGCGCATGGATTAAAAATTTACGGAAAGTTTAAAATTTTTTTTTTAAATTCATTTAAATAAGGAAAATTATGATTGAAAAAACTCTACTACGTTGTAGTTAGTACTTAGTAGGTAAGTTAAATTTTTAATTATAAATTATATAAAATAAATTTGAAATCGTCATACATCGAATAGTTATAAAAACTATGTTTTTGAATGTTTGCATGATAGGTATAGGTATATCGAGGTCGATCACTAACCAACTTTCAGACGTCCAACAATATTTTGTGAAATTTTATAAATTCCGAACCAAAATATCAAGATCGGTATCATTAGTTTTACAACAAAAATTGATTAAAAAAATTATGCCTAACTGAATTAAAAATAAGTACGGATGAGTATTTTGTACATTTTAAAATTACAAATTATCTGTGAAATTGTGAAAGCATGTAAAATAATATTTATGTTTACAAATATGTGATGTTTTTGACTGCGTAGCGTTTGGCCAAGCCCATTGATGAAAAACCTGTATAATATTAATGCAAATAGGTATTGAATTTTAATTTCAAATGGAAATACAATCTACTGAAATATTATGTTCAAGCTCGTTCTGGAGGAGAAATTCATACGACTCACAATAATCGTGTATACCACTATCACGGGAGGTATACCTATAAGTTCAATATATTATGTTTTTCGTACATATTATAGAAAATAAACATAATATATGCTTTACGAGGGCCTTGATAAAAACCACACGAGCCGCATTGATTTAACTTCCACCTCCATAAAATCTATACATACTTATATGAATTGTTTATATATAATAGTGTATGTAGAATGTAGATATTAGATACGTATTATTAATATATACCTATGTCCAGCTACGACATTGACCAATAAATATTTAAAATTAAAACAATTCCAATCGCAGCGAATAATGCACTATTATATTATAATTTACTTTTTTCCGTAAAATACCCGAATTAAATATAAATCCAACTGATTGTAGATTATAAATTATGAAATTTATTATTATACTAAAATGTATCTAATATATATATAAGTAAATATCTCTTGATAAATACATATAGCTAGTAAATGATTATTTTTATTATAGCTCAAAACATGAAATTTGTGTTGCGTCTACTAAAACTTTGGTACAGGCAATTACTATATTATAGACCAGTCTCTGTTTTCTATGTCGATTTTTTAGAAGCAAAAAGTTTATGGCATTATTTCACTTATGTTATAAACTCTTATAATCTACCAAGTATTTATTTATTTATTTATTTATTTAGCATTTATTTATGTTATTAGTTTTGTATAATTTAAAATGAAACAAAAATATATTTTTGGATAGTGAATTGAACTTATATGAAATATGTAAATTTATTACATAAAATTTTAATAGTAAAACTTTGGAAGTGTTGCTAGAATTTTTTGAATATTTAAGTATTTGTTGAGGTTTTCGCCCTTCCCTCACCCTATTTTTTTTTGCAGATGGTGATGTTATGTCCATGAGTAGGCTTGAAGGCCTAGTTCAGACGTCTTTGGCAGAATTTCTAATGGGTACCCGATAGGTTTCTGTCATGCCCGGGTGGGAGGCGGTGGCCACTTTTTTTCCAGACAGCGTGAACGGCCCGGAAAGCGATGCCCGCATGATCGGATTCGAACCGGCAACGGTGCAACCGACGCCTAAATTCACCCACCCTCAACCCTTAAATCCTGGCTACTTGTCACTGGTTTCTACTTTAGGTATTTGGTAGTTTATGGATTTCTTATTTCGGCCGTCA